CACTTCTCCTGTTCAGTTTGTGTACTTACATACATTAAAATATGATTTTTCAAGTGTACGAATATTTATTTCCCCCCAATGTATGTGACTGCTGATGTCCACTGCTCACAGGGCTCCTACTTGGAGCCTTCTATTGAGTGCTTGCAGCATGCAGATACTCCTCAAAGAGGGTTAATCCCCACAATGGCTGGCACGCAAGACCATGAACCTGAAGATCAATCCCTGACAACAGGGGCCACCTCCAGCCCTCCTAACTTCTGGAGCATCCTGCATGAGGAGTTGATTGAAAGTGAATGCCGTATGGAAAACCTAATTGCAGGTGCACTGCGCGAGTTCTCAATGAAGGTAGGACGCCTCCTGCATGAGGCTTTTTCTCTGAATATGGCCAAGGAGGGACATGAAGAACGCTCCTTGCTCCTGGTGAGCCTGTTGAGAAATAACTTTGGCCAAGCAGTGGGGGATGACCTACTCAATGAATGGTTGCCATCATGCCCCCCAAATGAAAACTGTTCACTTCAATTGCCAGAATTAAGCCCCCCTACCATGAGTCCTATCATACAGATAGCTGCACCACTAAATGATCAGGTTGCAAACTGCTCTCCCAAAAATAAGAATCAAAGTGCATCACATCAGAAAAATAAAAATCCAAGGGTCAGCAGCTCTGCCAAAAGAGTACCCAGCTGCAGTCAAGGGAACAAAAACTCTACAAAATGAAGCCCTCAAACATTATGCATGGCCGCATAAGGCGTTGCTCAGTCTTGGAACAGTGCATTGTCATTATTCAATTCAATTGTCATGGCTTACCTAACAAATTAACTGAATTTAAAGTCTTCCTTTACACTAAGAAGCCAGATGTAGTTTGTCTCTGTGAGACCTGGCTGAAGGAGAGGGAACCACTGTTTGTTGGTTACCAATGTTTTGGTCACACAAGCAGAGGGTTCCCAGAGGAGGTTTAGCCATCCTGGTACGGTGTGATCTGACTGCACATCCCTTGCAGATAAATGCATTTCAGGCTGGACAGTTGGAATGCCAGGCAGTGCAAGTCCAGTCAGCAATGGGATTGATTAGTATTGGAAATTTCTATAACCCAGGGGCCAATATCTCCCAAGCTGAGTGTGTCTCATACTTTGAGCAGTTCAGATTTCACTGCATCTTGGCAGGGGACTTCAATGCCCTTCCTCCAGTTTGGGATACTCGTGGCTACCACAACATGACAGGCAAATCATTGGAAGCATCTGTAGATACCGTACACTAAATCTGGGTATTTTGAATGACTGTTCCTTTCAAACTTACATTGATAATAGAACAGGCTCCACATCTTGTTTAGATTTATTTATAGTGTCACCAGACCTCCTATCATGTTCCACAATATGTAGAGAAAAAGGCCTAGGTAGTGACCACTTCCCAGTTGGCTGCTTGGTTGGCATATCGATAAATCAAGCATCGGAATCGATACCACAAAGGTGGAAACTATACGCTGCTGACTGGCCCAAGTACAATTCAACATTGAGCCAAAAGGGTCCTCAAGAGCAGAGCCAGCAATCAGCAGAAGAGATGTGTTCATGGCTGACTGAGCGTATAGTCTCAGCCGCACACGGAGCCATACCACGCTCCAGTGGAGTGCATCATTTTTGCTTCTCCACCCCATGGTGGGACAATGAACGTGCAGAGGCCATTCTGATGCGGAGGCAGGCAAAAGGCAGACTCTGGAGATCACCTTCACCTGTGAACCTCATTGAGTACAAACGTCTTGAGGCAAGGGCACGCTGGCTCAGGTTGCAGAAGCAGAGGGCTAGCTGGGAGCACTTTGTTGGCTCGTTATCTGCCGCTACCTCCACCAAAGCAACTTGGGCAAAGATCCAGAGCATTCAAGGCAAAACTCTGCCTTATAGGACTCCACTACTTGCAAACTTTCTCCTGTCAGATGATTTTGGGAAAGCATCTGCTTTCAGTCAGCACTGGTTTCCTTTTTGTGGCACACCCACCCCTTCCAGGGAGATTGAGGCAGCTAATGCATTTCTGTCACAACCCACACAATTGGACCCTCAGCCTTTCACTACAGGAGAATTGGACTTGGCTATTCAGGCCCTGAAGAATACTGCTCCTGGCCATGACCAATTGATGAATATATTCCTCAAGAAATTGCCTCCTCCTGTAAAATCTGAACTTCTGGACCTGTTCAACAACTGTTGGAGCTCAGGAACAGTGCCAGAAAGCTGGAAGCAAGGCATCACATGCCCCATTCTGAAGCCAGGAAAGGACCCTACACTGTTAGCCAGCTACCACCTCATCACCCTACTTCCCTGTATTGGGAAATTAATGGAGCATCTTGTCCTGTGTCGACTTGAATACCATCTTGAAACTAACAACCTGCTACCACCCTTAAGCTTTGGATTCTGGAGGGGGTGTAGCACTATAGATGCATTGCACATTCTCAAGAACGATATAAGGAGAGCATTAGGCCAACGTCAATACTGTGTGGTAATCTTTCTGGATCTCCAGGCAGCGTTATACAGTGTCTGGCACCAGGGCCTAACATATAAGTTGGGTAAATTTGGCATATCAAAGCCGCTACTAATATGGCTTTGCAGATACCTAGAGGGACGTTCAGCAAGGGTCAGAGTGGGAGCCACACTTTCAGTGCCCCAGCCAGTACTAGTCGGTGCCCACAGGGTGCTGTATTGTCCCCTGCTCTATTCAACATCATGCTCTCTGATATTCCTACCTCTGCGGTTGTGCCCCTGATTGGCTATGCAGACGACCTGACCTTGGTCACCTCAGCAACCTCCCTGCTGTCTGCTCAGCGAAACATTCAAGAGTACCTAACGCAGTTTTCTGCTTGGTGCAACAACCACATGGCACTTTATCCTCAACCCAGATAAATGCTCATACCAATCATACTCAAGGCACCGGATTTCCCCTCAGATCATCATTTGAATAAATGGTCGTCCCATTGCCTTCTCCCAAGAAAAGCGTGTATTGGGGGTGATATTTGATTGCCCCAGATTGAATTTTGGGGCACATGTCTCTGCAGTGCGTGCGGACTGTCAGAAAAGATTGAATGTCATTCGGGCCTTGGGTGCTCTGAAGTGGGGTGCATCAAGTCACCTACTGTGGAATGTCTATGTGGCATTTATTTGTAGTAAGCTAGAGTATGGCAGCAGTGTCATTGGTGATCTGCAATCTTCCAGCATCAAATCACTAGAAAGTGTACACAACAGCGCTCTACGGCTCATCCTGGAAGCTCATCGCACTTCCCCAATTAGGTCCCTAGTGGCAGAAAGCTTCCTGCCCCCGCTTCCTTTCCGCTTCCGCTTCATGAAAAGGTGCCTTCGCTATGCGTATTCTCCAACACAAGCAATATTGCCTGGGCTCCTGGGAATTGACCCCATTAGTGCCCAGATCAACAACTTGCATCCATTTGCAACACATGCTTGTTACTCGTTTCAGTCCATGGGTATTGCTATGCCTCGCCAAGTGAGGACCCCAGCTTTCTCACCAATTCCTCCCTGGATCTCCTTACATAATCAGAAATGTCTTGATCCCAGTGGTGGCCTGGCCTTGCCTCATCGTGATAGCTCTTTCTCAACTATACTAGCATACAGGATGGACCAATTTTACTCTGGATACACCCCCAATCTACACCAATAGATCTCCTTCTGAGGCCGGGTCTGTTTCTGCAGGTGTCTACATCCCCTTGCTTTCAGCTGCAACTGGTTGGCTGCTGTCGCCAAGCCATTCAGTGATGGGCGCAGAATTGTTTGCTATATACAAGGCACTGCAGAGGACACTCAGTCGAGTTGAGCTACAAAACTGACAGGTTGTGATCTTTACTGATTCAGTCATCCCTGCACCTGAGCCTCAATACCCGCCATCCTACCTATGCTGCAATAGTATATAGGATTAACGCTCTTCTTCTTCAGAGGGGGCTAAACTTGGTTGCCTTCTGCTGGGTGAAGGGTCATAGTGGAGTTTTTGGAAATGAGGTAGCTGATCGGATTGCTAACCTGGCGCACAGCAGTGATTGGTACTCTTGTTCAATATTTCCTTTTGAAGAGGCACATGGGCAGCTAGCTCAGGCCTTTAACAGCCTCTGGCGTGCATACTGGCAGGCCAAGATTGTTGCTACTTGTTGAGGCCAATCCAGATACAACCATGATGGATGCATCACTTATAGGTATTGATTATAGCTCTCTGGCTAGACCTCTGCAGTGTGCAGTGGCCCACCTTTGTCTGGGCCATGCAGGCATGGGTGCCCACCGTGCCCAGTTTGGAATGGCAGCTACGGGGGTCTGTCCAGAATGTCAAGTAGATGACACCATAGCTCACTTCATATTACACTGTGCTAGATTCAGTGGCCCAAGAGCAATATTTATAAGTGCAGTGAATGCACAGGGACTTACTTGGGGGCTGCAGACGGCCCTGGGTGGGGGAGTCACCAGCAAACAGCGTCACCAAATCTTTTCATGCTTGCAGCAATATTTGCTGGAAAGTGGAGCTGCCTCTCTGATGTAGCTCCAAACTGGGGGTGCTTTCTCCTTCAAATCAAAGAACTTGAAATTTAAGGGTGTTTATTTTATATAATTTTTTCATTATTTTTGTTCTTGTTTTGTTTGGTTTTTTGGCATGTTTGTGTAGGTTTTCATGCTGTTAGGGTGCCTCATTGCAGCATAAAGCTTGACTCATTGTGCATGTTATTATAAGGCATGCTGCATACCTATATCACTTGCATATTCATAACCTTGCCACATGACCAAATGTCTGGATGTTGGGTGCATGCTGTGTATACTTGGGGCATTGAGCCCCTTTGCACGGTGCATAGTCTTTCATTAAATGAGTGACTGAGACCAGGCTGGGCAGTGCACAAGCACTGGAAGCCTCCAAAACCAACTATAAAAAAAAAATCGGGGGATATGACAGCCACTGTCAAAGACGGGCGCAAGTTTATTTTGCTCTGTGCCCGTCTGCCTGACTGAAATTTCCAAATACATATAGGATATATAGTTAGATATTTAATTTTGATAGTATAAATAGATAGGAGTGGTGAACAAAAGTTTGAAACTCTTTGACTCAACAGTCAACTTCCCAAGGATGCCCATTTGTCGCCAGAAGCGGCCTAAAGAAGGTAAAGCGTCGATGTCTGATTCAGACGGGGATGCCCTGTCAATTTGGCTCTGGTGCTACTTAATTTAGTATTAAGAGACATTGCTTTGGTTTGGGAAATAGAATTGTATGAATATAATTTGAATTTGCATTTTGGGGCTGAATTGCTTTTCTTAGTTCATATTAAATTAGTGTGTATTACCTGGTGATGGCTGTCATGGGGGGAGAGAGGCTCTGCTTTTGTTTGTTTGGTTTTGGGCATCCTCTTCTTCTCTTTGTCATCATTCCAGATGGGGGCACCATTGTCTTTTAATTTTGTAATTACCAAGTCGTACCTACTTGACCTTCTTCAGTACTAGGATCATAGGATGCACAGTTTGAATTGGTTATTGGGCCACCTCTCTGAGGAGGCCCATGGTATATAGATCAATGTGGGAAACCTATGCCTTGGAAATCTATTGACTTGTAGCCAATTTTTTTGAAAGCCTTAGTTTCATGAATCATGATCTTATTACAAATTTTGTTTTCCTGTAAAGTATCTTATTTTAAGTAACTGTGATATTGCGAAGTGTTCCTGGCTTGGCTCTGCTGTGTTGCGTGGCTTCGTTGTTTCACGGCTCTGATGAACTAAATGACTGTTGCCAAGTCAAGTTGTTACAAGTGGTCAACATATGACTTCTTATTCACTTTCAACCCATCACCACTGTTGTGGGAAGCCCATTTCAGTGATACTGCAAGGAAGTAGGATTTTCCTACTAGGGGTCTTGCAAACCCCCCTCTCCTGAGATGCAATGTAATGTGAAATTAAAGTACGAAATTGAAGCAAAAGTATGTATCAATTTCAGTGTTGACACCATAGTAGAGTGCTCACTATTTGATATGCATCACTAACTTAATCATGTTAAAGTTAATGTAACAGATATTTTTTATGGATTTAGTGCACTCCTTAGGTTTATCATGTTAATCTTTTTTTGCTTTTCAGACTGGGTAAAGCAGGCAAACTTGAAAATACCATTATTTGATGTTATAGACCCCCGTGCCTCAGTTTTGCGCTTATTCTTTTTCTTCTCTGTTCAATGTACATACCTGGTTCTTCTTGTTGTGTTGTTCAATAAATTGTTAAATAAACACAAGGAAAAGTCTAATAAAAAGGTGGTTTGGGATGGTTGTAGGGGAGGTGGAGACCATCACCAATTCCTTGTTTTCTTGACACCCTTGCAACAAACACCCTCAGGCCCAAAACGTGGCTGGTAGCATGATAAATATAGTCCTACTACACCACCACCATTTATGCTGATTTGTTCTTTCTCCTTGACAGAGATCAGGCAGGGAGGTACTTCTGAGTCTGACAGCACATGTCTTCAACCCAGTTATATTTTTGAAAATAATTCTTTGGTGGATGGACTCTCTCTTTGAATCATCTTTGCTTCAAGTGAAGTTGATGAATGAAGAAAACCTTTGAGCAGTCAAGTCAAGCTAGAGTTGAATTTAGTGCCCCCTTTGAAAATTTTATTTACAATGGGTTTATTCATGGAGATCAGTGTACTCTTAGGTTCTATGGTAAGAATTTTTGATAAAAAAACATGTAAACTAATCATAAGTAATATTTATAAACAATATCCTGATTGCCTTAGTAGGATCTAGGATGATTGTGATGAAATATGCTGCACATGATATGGCCAGAATTATATTTCCCGCTTCATTCAATTTTATTTAGAATGTTATCATCAAATATTTGCTATGTCATAGTTATTCTTCTATTTAGTTTTTATGTCATTCTATTCTGGTTTAAACTTAATTTAGTTAATTATGAACAAATAGGGTACCGTACGGCAGTTCCATCTTCGTTTCAGAACCTAAACTTTTTGAATTCAGAATAAAAGAAAAATGAGAAAATTTTACTTTCTGGTGAAGTGAAATTGTTTAATGTCTTTGCTAAATTTATTGGTTGTGTATATTAGGTACCTATTTGAAAATTTTTAGTAGGTATATTGTTAAATTTATATTTTTATGAGGCATGAAGAAGAAATTGTTCAAATATTTTTTCTTCTCAGTTCCAATTATTATGGAAAATAGTGCAGAAAATGTCCATTAATTTGAGGCAGAAATTCCCATGCTTTTGGAAAATTTTGTCTATTCCAATAGTCATTGCTCAACATATCTTATGAAAATTGAGAAAAACAGCACATTTTTGCTTGCATTTTCTAGGAATTATCTGTGAAATTATCTTCTTAACCTGCAAATTTTAACAAATCCCACCCAATATTTCAAATGAGAAATTCAGTAACATAGTAAGATCCACGTCTTTGATTGGTTCTCTCCTGCATATCTGGCATGGAATAAAGCTACCATTTGAGCTGCAACTAAAGCTATCCTGCCATTTTGGAACAGCAAGATTCCTGCAATATGAATTACCTTCTATCTATTTGTTGACAAAAGTGCATGATAGGGTTACAAGATTCCAAACGTATTGAAAATTTGTCACTCTTGAGCTGCAAGATTTCAGTAAATAGTGTAAAAATTTCAATCCTGATGCATAGGCAGGATCAGGATGGTCCCCAATTAACATAAGTTATACGATTTATTTATATTATTATATTTATATCATTTTTCAGGCAATTTATCTTCCTGATTTGGATGCAGCTAGCATCATGTTTTGCCTTTCACCCTTTTTAGACCTTTTTGGAGCACAAAGATCCCAACTAGATGAATTCTCTTCTATCTTAGCTACCTATTGAAAGTGCATATCAAGCCTCAAGATTCCAAATTTATAAAAAAATGTCATATTGGAGCCAGGAGATTTTAGTATTTAGTAGAAAATTTTCAGTCTTGTGCCTAACAACATTCATTGTATTATTAGCAAGAGCTTAAACTGACTCATTTGTTATCCAAATCCAATACCAAATCCCATTATCTGCTGGTTTGTTATTAATTTTCAGTCTTATATAGGCTTCTGTATTCAGAAAGCTATGTTTTATATAGGTACTTTCTTTCACAAAAAATCTAGAGTTACATATATAGGTAGGTAGGTATATTTATTCATTTCAACCTATTAATTCTAGTGCTCACAGTGCATCTTTATGTATGTGGGTGGGACTTGTGTTGCCTTCACATAACTTCACCTTTGCCAATAATTTCATAGACTTTTGAACTTCTTACAATTTTTGCAGATAAAAAACACATTGCAGGTTCTCACCTGCAGTGCTTTAGGAAATTTGCTTGTAATACCAGTATGGATTCTTCAAATTAGTTTCAAGAAAAAAAAATCAATTTAGTTTATCTGATTTATTCTTTCTGTGATAAAGTATTGCAGTTTTAATTTAACTGTTGAAGGAGACCAATTCATCAGTTTATATTGTACAGTTCATAAAGGATGTCCTTGGTCTTCTAAGTAATAATATATTTTTTATACAAATATAGTTGACAATTTTCTATCACCTTGCAGATCACATTTTTTGTTGGTGGGTGGGTCTGGTTCATCCGTAAAATCTTCCGTGACTATGAAGCCAACAATACTCTGGTGCAGCTGTTCTTCCCAACTGTTTTCATGCTCTCGTGCACTATGTTTGAATTAATCATTTTTGAAATTGCTGGAGTTCTCTCAGCTAAGTATGTATGCCATTTGGAGTGAATTTAGTCTGTATACTATCTGTATTATAAAAAATATTATATTATAACTGTAAATTATTCAAAATATCTGATATATGGTATTTATACGTATTTATTGTATATATACAATAACCTTGTTGTCAAATGTTCAAATGATGAAAACAAAATGTTCATATAATTTTATTATTAAATTTTTATTTGTTGTAGTTTCTAATGCCTTACTAAAATCAGAATGGATTCTACTAAGGATTCTACTGTGTAGAATCCGTATAGTTGTTTTTATTTATGTCTAACCATGTTATGATACCAATATAAATTTTTTTCAGCACGCGTTATGTCTATTGGCACATTGTGCTGTATTCCATGCTGCTCCTGCTAGTATTGGTCATCCCTTTCTACCTCTGCTACTTTGTGCTCTCTAATTCTCCATTAGGTATGTAGGTTTGGTAATTTTATGTGACTAATTTTGGAAAGAACTGAATTTTTTAATATGGATATAATTAATAATTTAGATTGTAAACAAAAATCTACCTACTTACTTTTTATACATTAAGAAAAAGTGTACCATAAAAGTGTTTTCTGACCAACACAGTTGTGTAGCTATTTATAATCAATTCAACAAGCAATGTTCTACTTTTAGATGATTGATAATGGCATTGATTAGATATTTAATCCATTTAATGGATAACTATTTTGTATGTTTGACATCAGGACTGTTTTCTATTTTAAATTTTCCATCAGTAAAAAGTCAGTGGGTGAGGCCGCTGAGTGTGCTCACGTGGGGTGGCTATCTTTTTTGCTTCTGGAAAATTGGTGATCCATTCCCCATCCTGAGTCCCCAGCATGGCCTACTATCCATTGAACAGGTAAGAAACTTCAGCAGCTCTTCTGCTGCTCTAATATTGGGTAAAGAAAGAGCTGAAAAAATAGCACAATTAAATAAAAAAAGAGCGCATGGATATTTGTGCATCATTTAAGATTTCATACCCAGCACTGCTGGCAATTCATGCTAAGGTAATGAGCCAGCTGTTACCATCTTAACTGTTGCAAGCTGTTGTTGTTAATTTATGTTCTGTTTTTATTGATGCTGCTACCTACTACTACAACTACTTTGATACTGTACTTCTCTAAATCAGGGGTCTCAACCTTGTATTAGCATGTGAGCCACAGTGGAAAGTAACAGGCCACACCCCAAAATAATTTTTTTTGTTAAATGTTAAGAACGCTACTGTCATTGCAGTTAAATGCTAAAATTATTTTCAGCAGGCCACACCCCAAAATAATTTTTTTTGTTAAATGTTAAGAACTCTACTGTCGCTGCAGTTAAATGCTAAAATTAAGTTTTTTATAATTATTGATTACTCTGGTGTAGTTAATAAAGAGAAACTGTGGTTTGAGAACAGGGAATTGCTGGAAACGGTATTCAAAATCTTCCAGTAGTCTGGAGAGGATGTCAAAGTAGACTTCCAGGCGCTGTTTTTCCACTTTTATACTGTGTACAAAGGGGAAATCCGCCAGGTTTCCACTTGCCAGCTGAGTGGCCCACAAAGTCAGCTTGCATCTGAATGACTTAATGCAATCATACATAACGGTAGTCAGCTGTTTTGAGGCCTGTAGTTGTGAATTGAGTGTATTGAACTGTTGCTTGATGTCAGCAAGACAGAAAGAAAAAGATCTGACAAAAACATTGGGTCAGTGAGCTGAGGTATGTCTTCGTCTTTCATTGCCATGAACCCTTTGTCTTTCATTGTCATTTCCCGTCCCGGTTCAAAAAAGCTCTGCAGCCCGTTTCTACAAGTCAACCATTTGACTTTCATATGATGCAGCAACTCGCCATATTCCGTTTCTGAATCAGCTAGAACTTACACAATTTGTCTGTAGTAGAGACCCTGTGCATGTATGAAGTTCTCCGTCTTCACAACATCCATCTTCTGGCACAGATGGCATCTTGATGCTAAATGCAGTGTATGGCTGCAAAAGGCCCCGCTAAGCTGAGCTGATTCTATATCTCTATGATTAATCCAACAACACCACCCGTCCCTGAAGACATTGGTGGTGCACCGTCCACAGCTGACGAATGTCATAGCCGAATGTCATATTGGACAAATCATCAAGCTACCATTTCCATGGTAGCCCACACCTGTCAAAACAAGCTACTAGTTTTGAAGCACCTTGCGTCCAGTCGTAGTTCCTTTCATTTGTAGAAAGTCCAATTGCTCTTTAATAATGTTCAAGTTTTTGTCAACCAAACGAATGAATCCGGCACAGTCTGCAGTGTCTGTTACACCAGTATTACCTCGTTTGATGACCAGTATTACCTCGTTTGATGATGAAAGGCCTTCGCAAAGGCCTTTAAAATGAGCTCAAACGTGCTTTTGAAATGTTTCATGGTATGAAGTTATTAACAAAAAATGCTCAAAACCGTCCCGTATTACCCCGTTTGATGGCATATATATTTATTGATTTCAACCTATTAATTTTGGAGCATGCAGTGCTCCAGAGGTAGCAAACTGCATGCTCCAGAGGTAGTGCAGTGCTCGTCACATGCAGTGGATAATTGTACAAATTCTTTTGCAGCAGCAATCAGTTACTGTTGATCATTTGTTGCTGACTCAGTGATCCTGCTTGCTAGAGTGCTTGAAGACAAACTTATGAAGAGCTTCTTTTCCTTGAGGCAGATAATTTCACATGCCTGTAGCATAGATACACTCTTACAAACTGGACTTCAGTGAATGGTTGTGATGCCTTTGATATCATCTCGCGAAAAACAAAGCTTGCCTTCACAGAATCTCTGCTTGCTGTGTTGATACGTGTACTAAAGTAAATTTTTCTTTGTATGCTGAAAGATGCTTTCAAGTGATAGACGTTCTACTTGCTTGGCTTTCCCGGCAACCCAGTATATTGTTCTGAAGAAAATATTTCAAAATGTGTACCTATGTTATATTCCGGGGGCACAGGGATGCACTGCAAGCAAATCCTACAGTCCAGTTTCTAATCCACTTGTGTGACAAAATATAAATTTTCCCATTTTTCTTGGAACACCATTTTTCTTGGAACACCAAAATTGAATAAATAATGACATCTTCTTCGCAAGTGACAAACTTGATGACAAATCCAAAGTAAGAATATTATGTGTAGGTATATATTATATTATTACCAAGGTGGCCGCAGGGTGTACAAAATAGTTTCGCTGGCTGCATGCGGATTGCGCCTTTGAGACCCTGCACCAGATGGTACTGTACTCTTATGCAACATTTGTTGAGCCATAAAAACTATATATTAATTTTTTAATACAGAGCATAAGTCGCATTGGTGTTGTTGGAGTGACGGTGATGGCAGCTCTCTCCGGCTTTGGTGCCGTCAACTACCCCTACACTTCCATGACCATCTTCATGAGGCCTGTCAGCAAGGGTCACATCCAGGCCATTGAGAGGAGGCTGCTGCAGAATATGGATCTTATCGTTGCTAAGAAGAAAAAAATTGCACTTGCTAAGAGAGAGCAATTAGTAAGTTATTTGATATTAAAATCTCGTATAGTTTAAATATGTTGTCTTCAATAGTTTTCTTAGCTTGCTTGCTGCGTTGGGAAAAAAGTAGAAAGTCCTAATCAGTGCCTTGAAATAGAAATATTAAAATTGTTCGAATTTGTTGTAATTTTTCAACTAAAGAATGAAAATCCGCTACTAAGAGTGCAAAAAATTCCCGTTGAAACTCTTTCATTTCGTTTTGTATTCATGTTTTGCACCTGATGTTCAGGATATTTGAGGTAGATCTTCCTCCAAAGAATGGCATTAGGTAGTTTCAATGAAATGTATTGAAAATGATCCTGAAAACCATTTGTTTCAATATGTGTGAATATTCATTAATAATTATTTATAACTGTCACTGTCTTGTATAAATGTTTTGTTACCAGAATATTTTCTATATCATTGAAATAACTAATAGTTCTTTACTCATTTTCATTTCTTTGCCTGTGTTCGCAGTAGATTTTGCTATAAAAAAACACAAACGCAACTCAGATGAGTTTGAACTTTGCTCATAACTAAAAGCATGTATTTTTGTTTTTATTCAGCGCAATCCGAACAACATTGAGAACAAGAGCGGACGCAGCTCGGTGTGGAACTTGTTCCGTAGCAGCTCTTCCTCTGACGTGCCTGGTGTTGACATTGCTGCCCTCAAGTCTGAAGTACTCGCTTTAGAGGTTTGATTCATATATTGGTATTCATTCATGGTGTTACCATATGTTTGTGGATATGTTAACCATTAAATAGTATCTCTCAAGTCTAAAGTGCTCACTTTGGAGGTTTGATTCATATATAGGTATTTATTTATGGTGTTACCATATGTCCATGGATATGTTAACCATTAAATAGTATCTCTCAAGTCAAAAGTACTCACTTTGGAGGTTTGATTCATATATAGGTATTTATTTATGGTGTTACCATATCTTTATGGATTTGTTAACCATTAAATAGTATCTCTCAAGTCAAAATTACTCACTTTAGAGGTTTGATTCATATATAGGTATTTATTTATGGTGTTACCATATGTTCGTGGATATGTTAACCATTAAATAGTATCTCTCAAGTCTGAAGTGCTCACTTTAGAGGTTTGATTCATACATAGGTATTTATTTATGGTGTTACCATATCTTTATGGATATGTTAACCATTAAATAGTATCTCTCAAGTCTGAAGTGCTCGCTTTAGAGGTTTGATTCATATATTGGTATTTATTTATGGTGTTACCATATGTTTGTGGATATGTTAACCATTAAATAGTATCTCTCAAATCTGAAGTACTCGCTTTAGAGGTTTGATTCATACATAGGTATTCATTCATGGTGTTACCATATCTTTATGGATATATGGTATTAACCATTAAATAGTATCCATATATAATGGCCCGATGACTAGAACCACCATCTATAGCCAAAAGGTTAAATGTATTTGTTTGTTCAGAAATGTACCTGATTTAAATCACGTAAATGAAATGAAATTAACCTACAATTTCTGGTAACAACAGCCTGAATTAATTAGTATATCGTGGTTTCATTTGTATTACTTTTGAAATCTTTCAAATATACTCAATTTTGACTTTTCTAATATATGGATGTGCTATACTAGGTGAAGTTAGTGCATTGAATTCAGTATACAGAGGTAGTTTTTTCTTGTAAACGAGATAAATATGTTCAGAACCCAGTTTCAACTGCTTTTAATCACTTTTCACTCAAAGAAAATCAGAGTATTGCTATTACAAAAACTTTAATTAAATTGATTATCAAATCTATATTTAATTAGTGACTTCTTAGTAGACGAAGAAACTTGATTTTTGCTGCCCATTTCTGCAGTTATGCAGATGGTAATTATATCACCTGCCTGCTTCACAAGCAACTAATGACACCACCTGCTGCAGGAGGCCAGTAAAGCAGGAACCTGTTGCAGGAGGCCACTAAAGCAGGAACCTGTTGCAGGAGGTGGGACGTCAGCTGTTCCTGGAGTGCGTGGAGCTGCAGGGGCAGAGGGAGCGGCTGCTGTGGGCCACGACGCTACAGGGCAAGTTCTTCAACTTCATGGGCTACTTCTTCTCCATGTACTGCTCATGGAAGATATTTATTGTGAGTACTTCTCCATGGACTGCTCATGGAAGATATTCATCGTGAATACCGTTAGCTGTTGTTGGGTAATATGACCTCTTGTGAGTGCTGTGAGCTCAGGTGAGCACCACAATCGTTGATAAGGGCTGTTCCCAGTTCCGGTCTTGGTAATTAAATTCTTGAGCGTTTCAGTATTGAACTTATCAGTTTGAATGTATACATAGTATAACATCAACGTTACATTGATATTTCCGGAGTATAAATGGTGAACATAGTGTTTGACCCAGAGCTTGGTGAACATCGTGTTTGACCGCGTGGGGCGCAAGGACCCCGTCACCAAGGGCATGGAGATCGCCGTGCACTGGATGGGGCTGGACATCGACGTGCAGTTCTGGTCACAACACGTCTCCTTCTTCCTCGTCGGATGCATTATCGTCACCAGCATACGAGGCTTCATATTAACGCTCACTAAAGTTAGTCCCTCACGCTCACTAAAGTTAGTCCCTCACGCTCACTAAAGTTAGTACTTCATGCTCACTAAAGTTATTCCTTATATAATATAAATGAAAGAAAGAAGTATGCAAACTAACATCCCTTGTCTCAATTATTGTACCTATGTAAAATGATGCTAGTTATGTAATGCTGTCTGTACTATGGCGCTAACGAACAGAATATTTTTGAGGAAATTTGACTAATTTACAGAAGCTAAGATTGTGATTCCAAGCTTTCTAGACTAATTACCGTGAAAAAGTTGATGTCTTGTTGCTGTTGCAATACCGTTTTTCAAAGTATGTTATAAAGATTGCTGGTAGAATTGTTGCAGTGTTGATATTGCAGTGCAATGGTTCGTATTAGGTTCTGCAGATTGTTGGGACAGTTATTGCAATGTTTATTTTACAATATGATGGTTATGAATAGTTTAAGTAAATGAGTATTAAAGTTATTTTATTTGTAATTTATAGCATAATTACTTAAAAAAAAATTAAAAATTATTGGTGAATCTCTTCTTATCTTTTTAGCGCATTTTCTCATATATGGAAAAAATTCACTATTGTGCTCGCCATGTCCGTCCGTCTGTCCGTCCGTCTGTCTGTCCGTGACTTCACGTTTTCCGTCGACGACAAAATGCGCTCTCTGTCACTCACTGCAGTGAGTACTGAGTTATATTTTTTCAGTTTTTCTACGCCGTATCGTCAAGCAAGTCATCGAACATCATTGTGCTGGTGCTGGCTCAGCTGATGGGCATGTACTTCATCTCCATGGTGATGCTCATGCGAATGAACATGCCGCTAGAGTACCGCACCATCATCACCCAGGTGCGACACGTAATGATACGCTCATTCTTCATTAACCTAAGCATCAGTTACCTAACCTTCAGTTACATAACTTAACGTTAGCGGATTATTTTATGTGTTGAGTCGCCTTCCCAATACAAACTTGAAGAATTTTTTTCAGTTGCTGAAATTTAGTCTTGATTCGTTTCATCGTCTTTAAATACGTGGCGTTTCCTACAATTTTCGGGCACATTGCACTGCCGACGAGAGACCTAGCTAATATGGCCACAACTTGAAATTTCTGGTATTGTGCCTGGAGGACTTTCTTTTTGTACATAGTAAATATAAATAGCTTCGTATACATATAAAAATTATGTGATTGTGATATTTTTGATTCGTTTATTGTCTGGAAAGTTAATGGATTGCTCATCGAATAATTTCATGTATCTGCGTGACGTCACAGCTTGTTTAAATGTTGAAACTAACGCAAGTTTCTCAGCAGGCCGATTCTTTTTATATTGCTTGGAATGTTTGTATGAGATATTTTATAATTGCATCCGTGTATTGTATATGGATCGTTTGTATTTACCTCGGTAAATTTCATTGAGATCCATGTTACATGAGATCATGTACCATATTCTTAGTAAGTTATGCATCCTATCATTCAATTGTTGATGTTCTGTGTTGTTGTTGCAGGTGTTGGGTGACCTGCAGTTCCATTTTTATCACCGTTGGTTCGACGTGATATTTCTGGTGTCCGCAGTCACCACCATCATCATCCTCTACATGACTCACTCCCACCTGCCCGTTCCTGACGACTTACATCACAATTGATTCAATGCCTCTCTAGTTATGTCACCACACACGATCTTGTCAAACTGATCACTATAGTCATGTTGTCATTGTCGTGTCCATCATTCATCAATTGATTCAATGTCTCTCTAGTTATGTCATCACACGCGATCTTGTCAAACTGATCAATATAGTCATGTTGTCATTGTCGTGTCCATCATTCATCAATTGATTCAATTTCTCTCTAGTTATGTCATCACACATGATCTTGTCAAACTGATCAATATAGGTAGTCATGTTGTCATTGTCGTGTCCATCATTCATCAATTGATTCAATGTCTCTCCACAATTGATTCAATGTCTCTCTAGTTATGTCATCACACGCTTATCAAACTGACATACTTATTCATGTTATCATTGTCGTGTCCATCATTCATCAATTTAGTTAAACCGGCTTGGCCATATGTGCTTCTATTGTCGTGTCATCACAGTCAATCTCATTAACTGAATATACTGTAATGAGTCAATCTCATGAAATATTATTCATTTCATTCATTAACTGACTGATAAACTATAATCCTTGGTGAAAATAGTTTCCAGTGAAAGCATTAGGTAGAGTTTTATTATGGATGTTTCAACACTGCCAGTTTATGCATTAACAATCCAATTAGTGTACCACAAACTTACCTTCTGCCTACAGGATTGCTCATCAATCTCATCAAGATATATGTTTGTTGCATACAATCTTGAAGCAATAAAATTTTTGATTATCTTGCATCTTTAGAAACCATCGTCTAGCAACAATACAATGTTGTTCATCATCTGTTGTACAGACACGCAGCTCTTTGTAGTTGATGTTTTAGCACCATCAATACTGTACCCACAGTATTGTACTGTGTGTACTGTAGCACACAATGCAGTACTGTACAGTACTGTATGTACTGTAAGCAATAGTACCATCAATACCAAGTCCCGTATTGCGATTCGATGTATCTTAGATTAGTCATTATCGCATTACAGTCAGCAGCAGAAGTACTGGAATCTTGTTTGGTTTACTATGCATCTCGTATTTAGTAGCACTTACTGAATAGAGCTGCAATACTGTTCATTCGTTCATGCTTCTGCCAGTTGCATATTACCGTTTCAATCTGAACGAAATTGTGCCAAACACGGACGTATATTCGTTTGTATTATGACTGTGCGTGTTGACTGTGCGTATTTGTTTGTATTATTGTATTATGACTGCGTGCAGGAATTGGCGTAATGCAGCCATATATATGGGCATTGATCTGTTTATCATCGTAGAAAAAATAGCATTCATCTATTTATTGACTCATTGTAATAAATTCTCACGTTCACAATCACTTCTACTGTTGATACTTGGTCTGGCCCCTCTATTTATTATTCCACTTAAGGCTTCTGTTTTGCGATAAAGAAATGAACGAATTGTTGGTCATTTTGCTGAGGCATTTTTTATTTTTAGTCATGCCCCGTCGCCCATAACAATTAGTTATGTTGCATGAATTAATTTTTTTGACAATATCTTTACTTCCGAGGTCATACATTAAATCTCTGACATCTCTCCTGCATCTTGGTGATGATAGAGAAGCTAATGTTGTTTCGTGATGAAGGATACTCAGAGTTGTGGTTTGTAACGTTTTATGTGTGGCTACCTATGTGATCTTGTGAAAAATTTTTTATTGCTAGTTAGTTTTATGATTGTAGGCTGAGATTATTGTTACAGGTTGGGATTAGTTTAGTTAGCCAACTTATTGAAGCTACGATGCAAGCTTTTTTCCCCCATGTCGTGAGAAGAATTTAAGGGCATTCGCAAAACTCGCGATGCTCCATATTTTCTATACAAATTTTTGAATATATATTCGTGCATTATTTTTCACCCTTATTTGCTACTCTTGTTTCTGCTTTGAGTTTTACTTCAATTAAAAGCGTTATTTGCTGTCTAAAATCTGGACATAGGGATGACTGTCGGAAACCACCACTGCCGTGCTTCGAATGATTCACCATGACACCTTTCCACAAGAATGCAGCCTCAAACACTTCCGGACTACACTACACATTATCAGCCGCAAGCCACCAGACAGATCCCAACCATTGACGTGGACCAATCAGCCCAAAGGAAAACAACCTGCAATAGTTTGGCACAGAATCGTCTGCCAGTGCCCGAAAAAATTCTGCACAACTCTAGACATTTAATTTGATTTAAAACACGATGATCTCATGGGCTGCTTACTGACGGCCGAGCAGATACACGGCTGATTGGCGGGCTTACGAAAATATGCTAAACGTTATATTCAGGGCTGATTTGTGCACAAAATAGGTGGTGCATGGCTGCTCTCCCTGAAGTGGTTAAGATCTCCAAGATTTGAGCAGCAAGTTGGCGGTTCAAGACGTCGAGACCCGCAATTAGCTGTGAAAATTACGGTTGAAATCAGCAAGGTATCAAGGTAGTTAAGAATTGCCAGCAGGCCAACATTGCCTAATCAACACTGAAACCGCTTTACTATATTTATTGTTATGATACTTATTTTAAATTATACATCGCCATAAATTTGTGTAAGTTGTGATAAATTTTACAAAAATTGGGCATTTTTTCAAAGAGTGATAACTTAGAACTTGTGTAGTTGGGTCATAACCTGATTTATTTTCGAAGATATCCCAATTTTTTCACAATTTATTTGGTTATATATATGAAAATGTACCTACTCGTTTGAAATGTTTATTTCCTACATAAAGTATGTTAATGAATGGGTTAATAAGAACTAACAGTAGACGGCGAACTCTTTTGCTTAAATTTTACCACAAAAAATTTGATACCACGATGATTTAATATAAAAATAGCGAAACAGATTTTTCCATTATTTAAAAAATGCGGATCTCTGTAAAAGTGACAGTCATACCAAGGCAAGGAAAATTTAGCCTTGTTAGTTGTTACTCTTGTGCTTGTGTTCGTGAAGTTTATACTAGCAAATTGTCACTGACCACTAAGTATTTTCTTTGCTTGTGTTAGATTTGATTGCAAAGGTTTTTCTTTTCATCTTCGCAATGACGGTTGAAGTGATGGACGTTTCGACCACTGAAACAAAAGAAAAAGACACAGAAGAGGAAGTGGAGAAAAAAGACGAAGTTACCGTAATTACAGAGGGTATGTTTTTTTTCCCTTTTGTGAATGACGAATGTTTAAGACTAAACATTACTAATAAAAAAACTTGGTCAGCCTGAGTGAAAACTTTTTAACGTTTAGGTTTTACTGTAATCTTGCAAGTTGTAATTTCATATCTAATTGAAAAAAAAATTACTACTCATTTTGCCAATTTTGGTTCAGATCATTCAGCTTGGATAGTTATTTTAGCATATACCTACCTAATTTAGATATTGAGTTTTTAAATTTTTCAATCAAATCTCTAATGCGGGGCAAAATAAGTAAAAGAGCAAAGGTAAAAATTGATTAGCCTATTATCAGGCCTCAGGGTGATTTAAAAAATTGCTGATGAAAATGGGCCATTATCTTAATTTTCCTTAGAATTGCAGATTAGTGGTCAAATGGTAGAATTCTATGAATTTTATGGTCATTTAGATCCACCTTGGCCATTTTGCTCCTATTTGAGTGCGCAAGCATGGAAAACATCTCCCTTTAGGACTGCAACCATAGTAATCAATGTTTAGAAGATCTGCATTCCTGAAGTGTTGTTGTATATTGAAGCCAGTTAAATGGTGAATATTTAGCTCGTTACCTTGCTCCATAGCTACAAATTTTACAAAGCTAATGAATAGACTTATCAATAATTGTTTACCCAAAAGTCCCAAAGTGGTAATCACCAGTTCACCACCTTGGCCAATAATAAGGCCATTCTTGAAGGCAATAACTGCCCTTTTTAGCCATCCATATACTGTTATTGTTAGTAGGCTAATTGCAATGTAAAAAATAACATTTCAAAAAAGACAAAAAAGCTGAAAAAATGAAATAATCAAATGAATAAAAAAAAAAAATATTGATTTTTTATTTTTTTTTCATTAAAAAGAAAAAAAAATCACCAACCCTGGTTGTTGCAGGCATAGTGACAAACCAGAGATTTTTTAGAATCAGTTCATTTTTAATTTCCTCATTTACTCAAGATTTAAACCAATTTCTTATGTATGATAATGCTGGTATCCCAGGTTTCATAGTGTGGCACGAGAGTCGTTGTAAAATTTATCTCAAGGTCATCTGGTCGTTGAACAACCGCATGCCAGTCGATAGTCGATAGGATTTATGCAGTCGATAGTCGATAGGTTTCTTCAGTAGTTCGATAACTTAACAATGAAAACACTAGTCGTTAATAATGAGATAACCTTAAGTCTATGTACATAATATTCTTTATATACAACAAACACCTAACAGATAACGCATTAATGGTTTAATTTTTTAAACCAGCGGTGCCTTCTTAGCCTCTTAGGTTTCTTTACTAACGAATTCACCGCTTCACCTCACCGTAAATATTGTGCGTAAACAAATGCAAGCTTACCCTGAAATACGGAGGTCACACCTTACTCTTATCCAGAACTGCTTACTCAGTTTTAAATACTCAATCACCAGAATACCGGGTTTTAGTCAGTACCGCAGTCGTATCTTGTCGGGTCTCGCTAAGTCGCTTGTTGGCAGTCGTCATAAGTTTATTGTGGAAGAGTCCCATTAGTTGGCAGTCGTTGAAAAAGATAAATGACCTATTATTTTAGCTCGAAAGTCGTTGTAAAGTAAAGAAAATTGGTCGATAACTTTAGCAAAAGTCGCTGAAATTCCAACGACTATTGCCACTGTATGAAACCTGGCTGGTATCCATGATACTTTGCTTGTCTACTCATAGGACTCAAAAATGAACTTGAGGGAGAGTCTAAAAAACTTTCTGCTTTGCCACTATGGTTGCAGGTGTTGGGACTTAGGTGACTTCCAAAAAATCTGTGGTATGTCACTATGGCTGCAACTAGAACTTTCCCGCCATTTCCAGAACCACAAGATTCCCGTCAGCTATATTACCACCTTTCTAATTGTTAACAAAAGTGCGCAATCGGGCTGTGAGTTTCCAAACATATTGAAAATTCCTCACGCCAATCCTGTGAGCGCGCTGCCATTGCTGCTACTGTCGGCATGCTTGCTTGTATTGGAAAAGCAAGCGCGCTGCCACTGCTGCCGGTTTGCGCTTATCAGAGCACTTGGCCAGCCCGATCTTATTGGAGCCAGGCATGAAATATATCTACTTGGCGAGCCGCGTTTGGATTTTTCAAGCTGTGGTTTTATTGGTTTGCCAGCCATGATTCCATTCCTCTGAGGCTGAGCCGTGAATTCCATATTTCTGCCATGGAAAGCCATTTATGAGCTGCAAGCTTATTTTCAAAGTCCTGTCAACGTGTTACTCCAAATCTCTAATTTTATTCTAAAAACAATCATCAAACAGCAACACTAATATTTTCTTCACTTGAATGACAACTGAACACATAATGTTGCAATCTGACCACTCTGACATGACCAAAACTACGCAATTATCAAGAAAACATTTTGGATGTTGAAACAACAAGTTGCGAAGTGCAAACTGCTGTTTTTCAATCAAACAAAAATACAGGACATTAGAGCTGCGAGATTTCATACTTACTGAAGTTATATGGTTTTAGAGCCGCAATATTTCAGAAAAAATAGGACTTTTTCAGCCCTGTCAGGAGCAAGTGCATGCTCCTATTTTTGGCCATTGCACTCTTCAATTACATAGGTACTGAAGGTCATTTGAAGGTATTTAGAAGGTATTCATAGGTCATTTGAAGGTATTTAAAATGATGGAATTCCACTCAAGGATGTGCCTGATGTGGAGTCACTTAGGTGTGTCATCACTGCTGGAGTGCTCCATACATGAGGATGGGGAGTGGGGGTGCAATTCAAAGGCACTACAAGAGTATTATATGTCAAGGAAATGACAGTGCTTTTATTGTTGAAAGGCTGTACTGCAGTCTGCCAGGGTGCCCACTTCTTTTCCAGGGCATGTGCTCCTATTTCGGCTAGTGCGCTCCTAAATTCCATATGTAGATGGTCATTTAGAAGGCAGTTAGAATAACACCAATATCAGGACTACTGTACAATTTCATATTGAAAATTTTACTTTCTATAAAGATGTAATACAATTTTTGTACCTGTAGCAGAATTGCCTAAACTGAGCTCCAGCTAATGAGTACAGATTCAAGAGGATTATCTATGTTTTGCTGTAAATTGGGCATAATTGAAATAATTCCATTCAACTTGTATGCCATGCAAAACATCACTATAAATAAATGCTTAAATGGCTTATATATTTGCAGGCAAAGTTTTATAGAAATATGCTCAGACAACTAATCAAAAAATAATTTAACCATGCTTTGTGCAATTATATTATTGTGCAGTTTTGACATACATTATAATCACTGCTCATGAAATGTCAACACAGCTCAATACAACTTGAGATTTTGGAAACTTAATCACTTGGATACAATTGGTATTGCACAATACCTGCCACAAACATGAAGAAATTCTCTTGCACAATACCTGCCACAAACATGAAATTCTCTTGCTCATTGTAGAGGCCGCATGATTGAATTCTCTTAAAGACGAATATTTATAATGAAATTTTATCTTCCAGATATCAAGGAGCAAATAAAGCTGGTTGAGCGAAGTGTGGCGAGCAAGGAACCAAGATTCATCTTGCGTGTCTTGAGAGCCTTGCCTGCCACTCGTCGTAAACTAACCAACCCTTTGGTACTAAGGAAACTCATCACTCACTACTATGCTAGGTGAGAGTGCTGATCTTATTATAATGAAAGAAGTAGAATCATATTGGTATCATGTGTTGGATATCATGTGTTGGTATCATGTGAAGACTGACAGTCATAAACTCATAATTTTAAGTAAAACTTTTTGTTGAAATCTAACAATGTGGGCCTGTCAATATATCTATTTTTTGGGATTAGAAAGAATTACTAGTAATAAAAAGCTATGGTTTGCAACTAGTGTTAGAGTACCAGCTTTTATAAGATGCAGTTGAGTGTACCAGGTGGGAAATGGTCACTGGTTTCTTACAACATTTGTTTCTTTGAATACAACAATTTACAGTTCAATTAAGGAGCCATACAGAATTGTAACATAAATTCACGTTGCTTAAGGTTTCCCATAAATGCTCATTTGAATATTATTGATGCAATATTTTTTCCTAATGTTGTACTTCCTAACCCAGGCCAGAGAATCGCAATGAGAGGGAGTTGCTGATAAGCTTCCTTGATGAGCCCATGGATGCAGAGAGCTCGGATGGAGTGCCTGCTGAGAAGCCTGCTGCAGGGGAGAAAGGGCGTGGCACAGCTCGGTCTCAGCCAGCACTGCTACTGGAGACAGACGTGTACCTCCACCTGCTGGTGCTGCTCACGCTCCTTGATGCAAAGAAGTATCCTGAGGCACTTAAATGTTCTGGTGAGTCACCTTATCTCTTTATTCTGCCGTTGTATGCTCACTAATACCTTCCATATTAATGCTTTTAGCCATGTTGAAAACGGAAATTTTTTAAATATTGCCTAATATGTTAACTATGTTTTGGTTCTCGAAGTAAAGTTCTACATGAAGCAACTATGTTAAAATCTTCTATCTATATTTGGGCTGTTATAGTGGGAGAATAGTAAGACATTGCAAAACTGGAGGGAAAGATTGCATCAAAATTTGACATTTGATTTTTATATTTGTTTAGATAAATTAAATTCAAAAAGCTTAATATTTTTTTATTCTTATTTTTAAATGAGTCATACGGGAATCTTTGTAAAATTATATAAATAGGCTTACTTTAATTATCATTAATTTAACTTTATCATAATTCTACGGTTTCAAAATGCTGGGATGTGGGATGATGGAATTCTAAAATTGCAGGTATCAATCCCGGGTAATGCAGGGCTACCTGGTATTTTACAACACTTCTCTTTAACTTCACTTCTTGTTTGTCTGTTTGTCTGTCTGTCTGTCTGTCTGTCTGTCTGCTACAAATCTTGTAATCGAAATTTAACACACTTCTACTTATCCTATCAATCTGAAATTTTGCATACTTGTTTAAAGTTGGAGACAATGCATGAATCAAATGTCAAAATAAATGATTTTGAAAAGTAAAAATTTTTTTTTCAATATTAAAAAATTGAAAAAATAATTTCGTCAGCTACAAATCTTATAACTGATATTTGACACACTTTTACCTGTCTAATTGATCTAAAAAAAAAAAATTTATATATATTAAAAAAATTGAAAAGTTAATTTTTTTAATTTTTGAAAATTAGATGAGAAATTCTTTGTACATCTGTAAGATTGGAGATACTGGATTCTTTGGAAGTGTTGTCTTTAAAAAGTAATTTTTAAACGTATACATATTATTGTTTTAAAATTCAAATTTTGAATGGTGATACACAAATATATTAAATGGCGATTCAAATACACACAAACTAGCTGGTTAACCGGGCATTACCGGGATAGATCACTATGGTATGCAGTTTTGGAATTCCATTATTCCCAGTCCCTTCATTCCCAGTCCTTCCATTCCAAGTCCGGTCATTTCAAGTCCCGTCATCCTAAATCCCATCATCCTAAATCCTGTCATCCCAAATGCAGTTAATAATTTCAAACCCAAGAGACTTTAATTAAGAAAAAAATCCATTCAAACTTAAAATTAGCATGTTACTTATTAAAACTTATTTTTAAAATATAACAGAATTTTTCAAATTGCCATTTTTAGATAGGTATAATTTTTGCATGCCAAGGTGAGAGCATAATAAACATTTTTAATTCAGTGCTCCCTCACTTCAGTTTTCATCATTAATAATATGCGTTTAAAAAGTACTTATAAAAGACATGACTTCTAACGAGGCCAGTGCCTCAGATGTAGGTAACTAATGTACAATGAATTTATTTTTTTATTTAAAAAAAATATAAAAAATTATTTTTAACATTTTTTTTAATAGATAATATCTCCAACTTCATGCAAGTGTGCAAAATTTCAGGTCGATTGAAGAGGTAGAAGTGTGTTAAATATCGATTATAACATTTGTAGCACACAAACAAACAATAACAATTGAAGTTAAAGAGAAGTGTTGTATAAATATACTGATTATACTGACGCGACAAGTATCCTTGACAAGTATCCCAAGCAGTCTGTATCTATTTGCAGGCTTCAAACCAACTCAGTAACGTTGACAAATTGTTACTAGATTATTATGTTGATGAAATTTATGCAGACGTCAAACTGGTAGTGTAGTTGCCTTCGTGTATGCAAAAATATGAACTGGACCAAATAAATTGTGCACATTGACTGTAAATACTCATACTTGATGCAAATTATTTTACTTAGTAAGTTTGTTTTACAGAGCTGCTGATGGTGAAAGTGTGTGCCAAGCCACGGAGGTCACTGGACCTGCTGGCCGCCCGCTGTGTTTACTATCACTCCCGCACGCATGAGCTCGCTGGCTCCCTGCACTCCATTCGTGGGTGGGTGACACGAGGGTTGTAAATTGATACTGTTTCACTTCTATAAAAGAATTATAGAAGTGAATAAATTAATAAGAAATAAATAAATTATATTTTTAATAGTTTAATACCTTCAGTGTAAGTATTTTGTATTAATTGAGTTTGCATGATATGAAAATCCTTTTAAGAAATGGTTATGTGTCAAAATTTACCGAGTTAATTATATTATGAATGTATTAATTTTTAAAAACATTTATTTAACGGCAGCATTTTGTTTGAAAATCAAGTCATGAATAATTTGCTTGTTTGGTTTTGTATCTCACTAAGACATATGAACAACGGGCTTTTTGTAGTTTTAAAATATCTTGGCTCTTTAGTTTCCATACACATTTTCTGCAGGAATCCAATCACTAACGAAAAATTCTAGTTGAGCTTTTTACCTTAAGAGATTCCTCAAAATAGAATCCAACTTACTATGTTGGGTAATCTATGCTGGTATCCGTGATACTTACGCTAACATGCTTCTTCTATGAATAAAATTAGATTGAGTTTAATAGGAGTTGCCAAACACAAGGTGTGGTTCCTGACTTTAACCCATTATGTCGACGAGCAGGCTGCTGCACCAGCGGTTGTCTGCTGCCATCTTGCGCAAAGACTTCGAGGGACAAGCGGTGCTCATCAACTGCCTCGTGAGGAACTACCTGCACTACAACCACTACGACCAGGCACACAAACTCATCGCCAAGATCGAGTTCCCTCAGCAGGTCAGTTGCTCTCAATGACATCGTTGGCTGTTCATGACCACCAATAACTGCTCGGGTCTGTTACTGGTGATGGCTGGGATAGATGTTGGTGATGGCTGGGTCAGTTGTTGGCGAGTGTGAGTCATGTGCTGGTGATGGCTGAGTCAGATGTTCGTGATTGCTGGGTCAGTTGTTGGTGATGGCTTTTGTTAGATGGTGATGGTAAATTGTTGGTGAAGACGGGATAAAAGATGACGTTGGTGTCAATGATACAGATGGAAGTTTCAAACGACTACATCAAAACTGATTGATGCCATTGTATACGGTAATTAATTTGATGTAGATGAACAATATTTCCAGTGTCATATTCGATACATATTATTATGTACTGAGGAAAATGCCGGAAGGCTCTGAAACGCACAATCTAATTAGGTCCACACTCAACTCCTGCCAGGTTACACACACACTTGAATTTACATTTGGGCGCAATTCATTCTTTCATCTTGGTACCGCAGTAATCGCGTTGAATTTACCACAGAAAATCTCCAAATTTGATCAATGACCTCAGCAAATCATGAAAAAAGGAGACATTGTGGCCCTCTTATCATTTTACACGGTGAAATATTTAAAATCATGCTACAATAAAATGCTCATATTACAGGCAAACAACAACGAGGTGGCACGCTTCCACTACTACACTGGTCGCATTGCTGCTGTTCGCTTGGAGTATTCCAACGCGCACACGCAGCTGCAATTAGCGCTGCGTAAAGCCCCCACGCAGCATGCAGCTCTAGGCTTCACGCAGGCTGTCCAAAAACTGAGCGTTGTTGTGCAGCTGCTGCTTGGAGAAATTCCTGACAGACAGGTGTGAATTGCTGAGGTTGAGGGAACCAAGATTTGATCAAAACGTCGTTGGCATTGATAAAACTTTGGGTTTTTGCGATTCCAGGACCTTTGTATGTGCAAGTGATTACAAGTATGTCTAGGCCACTTGAATAACGAATTTACTTTGAATAGAAAAACAAAGACAGCATTCCTGATTTTGATAGCAATCATGGGGCGATAGACATTAAACATAACAATTGATAAATAAAGATCTTGATAACCTACAATCATGTCAGGTGTTCCGAGGAGCTGGTCTTCGCATGGCCCTGGCTCCGTACCTGCAGCTGACCCAAGCTGTTCGTCTCGGCAACCTGCAGCGCTTTCAGAAGGTCCTTGACACTCATCGTGCAAAGGTGAGACTTCAATGCTAAGGTCAGTCAACTGAAATGAATTTTAACAAGAGAACACTCCGCTTAGTACGTAGAAAATTGGTGGTTTTTGTATACAGTTCCATTATCTGGTCGGAAGTTGACACGTGAGAAAATTTAACAATAAATCAAGTTGATTACCACAAAACTGTGGTTATCACTAATAAGTGAGACTCTTATTTGTTAGGATTTGGTTGGGTTGGTTTTGTAATTTATCTCGAGTTTTGATATTTGGTGGCGATCATGGTCTTCAACATGATTCATTTTGTAGCTCTCATAACAAATCTTCGCTATTTAAGGCTAGCTCCTATTGCTTTTCAGCTGTTAATAATTACGTTTTTAGTGGAAACGTTCTTTTTATGTTTTCAGACGCATAATATGCATTTGCATTGCCTTCCCAAACGCAATGAAATGTTGGTGAACTTCTCACAACTTGACTAACATGAGCTGACTTTGACAGTGATCTGGCTGGGAGGTGCTTCCGTAACCACAAGTCTTTGAATTATATTAAAAACAATAACTTGAGTTGCGTTGTGTTCACAGTTCCAGGACGACCACACGCTCATGCTGATCGTCCGCCTGCGCCACAACGTGATCAAGACTGGCCTACGCACGGTGTCCCTCAGCTACTCCAAGATCCCTCTGGAGGACGTGGCGGCAAAACTCGCCCTCGACTCCAGGGAGGACGCCGAGTTCATCGTCGCCAAGGCGATCCGGGACGGCGTTATTGAGGTGAGCGCCGTGAAGTGGTGGCAACCAACACGTAGACACAGACAGGGTAACGACAACAGCGTTGATATGTGTTATAAATTGAATGATACTACCAATTTCTTCGTACTGCTAAATTTTCTAAGATTTTTTGCGATCGTTTGATGGCTGACGGCAAATTTTATGTGTACCGTCCATTATAGCCAGATTGAAAGTTCGTTCTGTTCAGTTTGATTGTTACTTGCATCACAGCACAACACGAGCGGGTACGTAATACTGTAACAACAAATGTAATACTGTAACAACAAATTATCAGCGTTTGTTGAAAATACGAAAGATAAAGCAGTCTCCATGTGCTTATTTCTTATCAACAAATCTGGATGCACAATCGTGTTTGCAGGCGGTGATCGACCACGAGGCTGGGTACATGCAGAGCAAGGAGACGGTGGACGTGTACTGCACACGGGAGCCGCAGGGCGTGTATCACCAGCGTATCGCCTTCTGCCTCGACATCCACAACCAGAGCGTCAAAGCCATGCGGTATCCTCCTAAGTCCTACAACAAGGATCTCGAGAGCGCAGAAGTGAGCAGACTCCCTACACAAATTTGGGCTGTAAACAGCCGGTAACGTGTAGATAATTAATGATCTATTGATAGTTATACTTCTGCAGTAAGGAAGGTAAGTAAAACTCGTATATTTTAGGAAGGCCGTGCAATTGAAGCCTGCAGTGAAGGTTTAAACGATTATTTCATTAATAATATTTAAGTCGGTAAGTTGATTATGAGATTCTTAGATCTCAAGAATCCCCGATCCCTAGCGTGGCAGGGTCTACCATATTATATTTAATAACAACGTAATTCCCTTAAGGCCTCCTCCCTATTGTCTACTCTAAATTTGGTACAACTGCAATACGCCGGTAACTTACTTGCTTGGGACGGAATAATATTATTTTTTTACATTCCCTTATCGATTCATTTATTTACATTATTCTAAGTGTAGCGAACTGTCAGTCATCTGCGACTGGAATTTAATACGAAGCAGAAAAAAAAATTAACAAAGTATTTAATTTTCCAGGAGCGTCGTGAGAGGGAGCAGCAGGACCTGGAGCTCGCCAAGGAGATGGCTGAAGAGGAAGACGACGGCTACCCTTGAGCGTGCACACGGCGGCAACATTCGTCCTTTCTTATCTCTTACATTCTTCCCCGATACGGCAATTACGTCAATGCATAGTAAAATTTACCTCTTTCAGCTTGGTTTTATTGCTAATGCGCACAGTGGTTACACTTTTTGCTACTAGGAATATGGTTATCTGCTGGCAATACGATAGTTTATGGCTTGTTCCAAGACATTTACTTCTACGTATTTTGCGAAATTTTTCGGGAGTTGATTGAAATTGAAGAATCCATAAAATTTGGTCACTTAGCTCAGGATAAAAAAAAAGTTTAAAATTTGAACGTGGCAGTGAATGGGAGACTAACTCAAATTTGATTTCATTTCATCAAGCATTCATTTCAATATGCATTACCGACAGAGAATCAATTCAATTGTCTAAGCCACAATTTTCCTTTCGAATTTTTGAGCGATGCTTTAACCGAACGATGGGCAGACGATTAGCGATAACCAGCATCATGATAACGTAGCCTCGAACAGGGGGCAGCGCTGGGCCTAATAGAAGATGTAAGTGACTGTATGGCATCTAGCCCGCTGAAGGATTATGTAACAATTAGCAACTTAGACTACATTTATTTGCACAACTGGACCTTAAGACGAAGTTAATTTATTAGAAACTTTTTACTTAAAATACTGAAGAAAAGTTACCTAATTCCTATGGCAAATGTAAAAACAAAATATAACTCAGTACTCACTGCAGTGAGTGACAGAGAGCGCATTTTCTCGTCGACGAAAACTTTAGGTCACGGACAGACAGACGGACATGGCGATCACAATAGTGCATTTTTTCCATAAATGAGAAAATGCGCTAAAAATTCTCCCTTCACCGATCGATTATATAAATAGCATTTTTCAAGATTGAAGTAGAGTTTAATTAATATCAGAAAGCTCCCTGACAGCTCTGTAGCGGTTCATCTCGTTGGGGAAGACGTGTGACAGCTCCACCAGAAGTCCTGCTTTGAACGCCTTGTAGCTTTGGATCCGACCGTTGACCTGTCAAGCGATTGACAACACCGTTAGATTTATTGACCCAGTCAATAGCTGTGCATGATTCAAGATAAGTAGTAGTAGTAGAAGATTTACTAGCGCTTCAGATAGCTATCTATTTCGCGCCGGAGGTGAGTGAGATCTTCAGCTACGTCAAAGATGTTTGGTCTGCGATAAACTTGGGTCAAAGATAAACTGCGAACAATGATGGATACAATGGGGCTTAATGGAAAAATCCCTCAACCATAATAACCATAGTATTGTCTTATATCGCTTAATCAATCCCAAAATAATGGAATTTAACACAGCTGATTAATCACTGTATATTAGCATCAGGTAGGAAAAATCCTTATGGGAAAAGTTTTTGCTTGTTTTTCTATGTTACCAGTTCCATGTTCAGATAATGAAATAACAAACACAAAATCGTCTTGAGAAGACAACATATTATTTTCCACAAGATTCTGACCTGTTCATTTTTAGCAAGTGCTTTCTCCATGCAGTCTTTGGTGTAGAGCTGCGGGTTCCGGCCACCATCAATGTACTCGAACACTTCCAGGGGCACATGCACCTCCTGCACGGGCGATCTCAGCTTGTCGATCTCCTGCATGTTGCTGATCATGTTTTGTCTGCCCACAGAATAACCATACAGAGTTCATAAGATAGTATGATAGTTAAATAAACTAACAGAATAATCATACAGAGTTCATGAGATAGTATAATAATTAAATAAACTGACAGAATAACCATACAGAGTTCATGAGATAGTATAATAATGAAATAAATTAACAGAATAACCATGCTGAGTTCATTAGATAGTATGGTAAATAAACTAACAGAATAACCATACAGAGTACATGAGATAGTACAATAATGAAATAAACTAAAAAATGATGCAAAGTCAGTGGGAAAGATGTTGCACAAGGAAACTGTTCTCAAAGAAGCGAATTTGTGCTTTGATTATAATTCATGTGATAAAGTCATGTTGAATCACTACCGTAGTGCATGGAAAGAATATAAAAATAAAATATAGAATATATATATGCCACATGTGATGAAGTAACGCTTGAACTTTTATACAGGGTTGGTATGGCAGTGGAAATGACTATTTAAGATTAGCAGATTCAAAGTATGTATTATTTGGCCCAAAAGATCATGATCTGCATTTATAAAACAAATAACCAATAACAAATTAATGTATTCAAAAACTTTTGAAGATAGACCCTAGTTTGCTGACACAACATGAAGGGATTAGGATGATATTCTCGTCATTGGGCTATGTTACGTGACTCAGGACAATGAAGAGATGAGGTAAATTTTAGATATGACTTTGCTGAAAAATGCTTATAAGAACAGATGGAGAACATTGTTATCTTGCCTACACAACACATGATCTGCAGCTCATGTCAATAACCAATGATAGTAAATAGTTATTGATATTAATTTTTAATATCAATAACTATTTAACTAACTAACAAGCCCCCAGCCTACTGAATGAATTAGCATTGTGATCAATGGTGATCAATGAATGATCACCAACTGAATGAATTAGCTAACGCTCTGAAATGTGTTATGAGTGATCATAAAATTCTAACCTTCATTTCTTCATGTAATACACATAAATTATATGGAATGTAATTATTTAATGGTTGGATGCACGTAAGAGGTTTAAATGGTAGAAAATTAAGTGGCATATGGAGTATGGTATTTTGTAGTTGAGAATGCTGTAAAGTAAAGTAAGCTTTAGTTTTCAAGGCTAAGTGAGATGAACACAAGGAGCTAAATTGGAAGTTTGGCAGCAGGAAATAGAATAGGCAATATTAAACCTCCATTAACTTAAACTTCAGTTATCACTGATGTCTTTCGAATTTAATTTTTGGAGTCCAGATTTTCAACCTAATTTAATGTCGAAAAATAAATATATTATCAAGTTTTAAGGCAAAAATTTACAAAAAAGTACCTATGCCTCATTTTTCCAGTTTAAAAATTGCTAAGGACTTGAAAAACTCACTATTTTTCATGAAAATCCGATCAATGTATTTAATGAGTAGACTTGATATATACTACAAATTCACAATTAAAATCTTCAATTTTGCTTACCCAGAGCAGAAGCACTTAACATTTCTAATGTTTGTGCTATGAAAATCAATCTCAGGTACAGGAAAGCAATGATCTAAGCCTGTTTTTTTAAAGTTTAAAATACACAAATGAACAATAGAGATGCACACAAATTTCTTGAAGCTAATGGTGTCAAAATAATGTCATAGAGAATAAAAAGTAATCAATCAAAAGGTTTAAGATATTACCCTACCATACTTAAAATTTGTAACTCACAGTTTCTGATTGAGAACCTGCTGGCCCTGTGGTTGGAAGTCACTCACGAGAATACCAATCTGGCGGACATTTTCAATGAATGTTTCAAGATGATTTTCCAATTGCTCTAAAGAAGAAGACATGTCTGCAAAATTTCTGTGGGAAATCAAATACAATTTAAATAGTGTGAATAATAAGTCAAGGCATTTATTAATATGTAATCATTGCAGGAAATTATGGAATTGCTAGAATAAATTCTTCAATGAAATAATTTATCAAGCCACATTAATAGATCTATGGCTTGAGTTGTTATTGAAAGAAAACCTTTGAATCCTCGTGTAACAAAGTACTCAAATTTCCTGAAATCTGAGAAAAATTTGTTCAGAGTACTTTCAATACTTTAGTATAATTTAAATAGCATTCACGTTATTCAACTTATACTAAAATCTCTAAGAATGCCAAATAATCCTACCTAAACTAAAATTTTTTCATGAGAAATAATTTTTTCAACTTGGTATAAATTTTAGCTCAAATCCCTTTCAGTAATGTTTCATAATACTAAAAATAAGTATTTTGTTATCATCTGATAATGTTCAAACACAGTGAAACACTGTCAATTTAAAAGTTATATGATCAGTGTTATATGATCAACCCCTAGAAGCACTTCCTAAATTTGACTTAGAAATATTAAATATCAGGCAAAATTAATTAATTAATTAATTTTTTTGGGGATATTTAATTTTAGATACTGATTCCACATCCCCTCTAAGAGTAAATCACCTTTGTTGCTATCGAAGATACTAATGTGAAACTACTATCAATGACAAATAACTAATATCAATGACCACTCAGCAGATGCACTTGACTTGTCTTTTGTCCCTAAAAACCATATAATCCAGGTCAGAACTACAATTTGTTCATTTTGATAACATCTTAATGATTGAAGCCGTTTTTAGTGCGCTAAAAAGATGTTCAGTTTTGTTTATGGAATGGGTCATTTTTATCAAAGGCTGGCAACTTAGGTGTAGTGGTGTGGTTATCAACTATACCTATATAGGATATACCGGTACTGTCAAATGGGGTAATGAGGGACAGTTTTTAGCATTTTTTGCTGATAGCTTACCATAAAACATTTCATTAACAAGTTTGAGCTCATTTTAAAGCTCTTTGCAAAGCCTACATTATGAAATGGCATCTACAAAAAAATTCATATGCTATTCACAAGTTGCCATATGCAAAATAAAAGCGTCCTGAATTACCCGTGGGAATGGGATAATCTGGGATACTTGAAATAAAACTCAATTTTAAAACGTTTGAAGCATGCAAAGCATACTCATCCATTACCAACAATACTCTGCAGTCCTCTTCCTCTGTAGATGATGTAGATGTAGAATAAATGACATTTTCTGTGATTTTTACTTGTTTTTCCTTTATTGATATATTACCACATCCCTTCATTATCATATTATTGATGTTTTATTACTGTATCCATAGACATGCCATTGTGCATTTACAACAACCTTGTCCACTGCTCCTTCTGTCTCAGTAAACTTACAGGAAGGCTTGTAATTTCACACCATTTTACTTGGGTCAAGTGAATTCACTATAATAAAAAAAAAAGATTGTAAAAACATACATGAAACAGAAAGGAATATTTTAAAATCATACTTTTTGGAGAAATAAATCATAGTTTAGGTTAATTACTTATCATTCTGCTGTTCAGTGCTGCACAATACTATCTATGACATTCTATGCACAATTTTGTGATGACCAATGATGCATTGCTCTTCTTTAAGTGAAATTTGTTCCAATGAGCAAAGTAAATGTAAGTAAATGTAAGATTTTTTGTTGTTAATTGATATTTTGGTTAACTAGAGCCTTTGTTAACTAAGGTTCTACTGTAAATGTGTTTTTAGGGGTGTCCCTTATTACCCAGGGGGGTGTTCCTTACTTATTAATACCCCGTCCTGCGGAAATGGACACCATTTATTTTTTGGAATGAGAAAGGCAAATTCTGTCAACCGCATTTTTAAGCCAACACCTGTGTGCAACTTTTATGGAAGTAAAATTTTTCAATATGGTGAATATTTTTTTTGCTACAGACCTTAGCAGGTACTTTTGCAAAATTACAATTTTCACACTTTTTTCATGGATTTTTTAAAGGTGGTAAATGACTGATTTCCTAACTTGCTTTATGCTGCATAGATAGTAAAAATGTTGGACTTTATGTCACTATTTTTAGTTTTGTAATATTTTGATTAGTTTAGCTGCTACAAAATTTCTAAGAAATGTGGGACGACTGTCCCAATTTACCCCACCCATCCCTCATTACCCCATTTGACAGTTATTCATCTAGCAAAGTTCCAGGGCTCTGAAAATTTCCAGTAGCAGCTTAGATGATACATGGAAGATGTTTCCCCACCTGAGCATGCAGGGTAAATGCCGTATACTCCAACACATTAAGGACGTAGCAAAAAATGAATGGCTATAAAAATTTTACCATATGCGCAACTCAAGTTCCGTTTGCTTTACGTCACTCTCAGAACACCGCACTACACGCCAGCAACAATGAAACGTCACAAACTGTTGCCATATTTATTTAAAAGCCTTTAGAATGCAAACCTACCAAATCCAAATATTCCGACACTGTGTGTGACTAAATTTGGCATTTTGTGAGACTAATTCTGGCCGTGCTTCAAACTCTACTAATTCATAATTCCAACCCTCTTGTGTTCGAATTCTGATCACTGTGTGAGCTGTATTGGAATATGACACAGCTCAGAATTAGAACACTATTAAATATTGAATACTAGGTACTTAATTAGGCTTTTAATTATGAGATATTAAGCTTTTAATTAAGAAAGTTTTAATTTTTGCACACAGCTCGGAACAAGCTGTATGTGTCTAATTCCAAGCTGAGTCAGAATTAGTTTTCATGTGTCTAAAACCATCTCTTAACTTAATCATCTATTAATTTATTTACCACTTGAAATCAGCAAATACAAGTATACTTAAATGATTTCTAATATATTCACAGACTTATTTAAAAGGCTCAAACCATAATATTCTTTCTACACAAACAGTTTATCACTATTTGGTAGAGCAAGGTCAACTATCAATTTTGACACGTTTTTCGATGTTCTCACTGGGTGACTTGCACTGTCTCTCTTTGGATCTCAACATTTTCCTGCCAGATGGCCCAGACCTAGTGTTTTGGCAATACCTAGTAGGGTAAACATGGTATATTCCAACATCGTGGGTACCGTAATTCCGACACTTCGACTTTTTCCCTTTATATTAAGCTTTTTCTTAGTTCCAAGCATTTGTTGTTGGTTGAAATAGTTACGTCATACTCTTGCGCGCCGTACTATTGCCAAAACACTAGGTCTGGGCCATCTGGCAGGAAAATGTTGAGATCCAAAGAGAGACAGTGTGCATCACCCAGCAAGAACACCAAAAAATGTGTCAAAGTTGATAGTTGACCTTGCTCTACCAAATAGTGATAAACTGTTTGTGTAGAAAGAATATGATGGTTTGAGACTTTTAAATAAGTCTGTGAATATATTAGGAATCCTTTAAGTATACTTGTATTTGCTGATTTCAAGTTGTAAATAAATTAATAGATGATTAATTTAAGAGGCGGTTACAGACACATAAAAACTAATTCCGACACAGCTTGGAATTAGACACACACAGCTTGTTCCAAGCTGTGTGCAAATATTAAAATTTTCTCAATTAAAAGCTTAATAACTGTTAATTAAAAGCCTAAATTAGTAGTGTTCAATATTCAATAGTGTTCTAATTCCAAGCTGTGTCGTATTCCAATACAGCTCACACAGTGATCGGAATTTGAACACAAGAGTGTTGGAATTACGACTTAGTAGAGTTTGAAGCACAGCCGGAATTAGTCTCACAAAATGCCTAATTTAGTCACACACAGTGTTGCACTGTGTCGGAATATATGGATTTGGTAGGTTTGCATTCTAAAGGCTTTTAAATAAATATGGCAACATTTTGTGACATTCCATTGTTGCTGGCGGCCTGGCGCATAGTATGGTGTTTGGAGAGTGACGTAAAGCAAGCAGAACTTGAGTTGCGCGTACAGTGATTTTTTATAGCCATTAATTTTTTGCTACGTCCAGGAACGTCCTCAAAGTGTCGGAATATACCTCATTTACCCTATGGCACGCAATAGTATGACGTCACTATTTCAACCATCAATGAATGCGTGGAACTAAGACAAAGCTTAATATAAAGGAAAAAAATTGAGAAATGTCAGAATTACCCACGATGTCTGAATATACCGCAATACCGCGTTTACCCCAGTCTTAATGTACGTACCTAGTCTGGCTAGTCATTTAATGGTTATCAGTAACTGACAAATTTTTGCAATGAATAGGTATGTTTAAAAAAAAGAATATCAACTTTTGCAAAAAATTCTCACAATTTTATGAGAGTCAAGAGTTAAAAATACCAAAAAAGTTTTTGATAGTACCCCAAGGGGCAAGGGCCAAGGCCCACAAAACGATGGGATAAACTGCAACTGTTTCATGGTATAAGGGGCTATGGGCACATAGCCACTGTAAGCCACATCTACCAGTACCACACATGATGTTTCCATGTGGACATTTGACAAGACAGTGTCACTGCCTGCAAGGTGCAAGACAGTAGGATTTTCCTATTAATGGAGTAAATTGGACCCGCAAACCCTTCTCTCCTGAGATGCAAACTCAGTTTGCATCTCAGGAGAGGGGGGTTTGCACTTAGAAAGTTAGCAGGACCAGGACAGCAGGACCCCTAATAGGAAAATCCTAGGGTAAACGCGGTATATTCCGACACATTAAGGACGCATCGAGAAATGAAAAACTATAAAAAAAACGTATGCGTTACGTAAGTTCTGCTGCCTTCACGTGACTCTCAAAACACTTCACTACGCGTCAGCAACGATGAAACATCACAAAATGTTGCCATATTTATTAAAAAGCCTTTAGAATGGAAACCTACCAAATCCCTATATTCCGTCACTTTGTGTGGCAAC